TCAGCCAAAAGTTAGGACGGTATTAGTCAGTGGTTCCCAAACTTTTCCTGGCAAACACATTAGACTTCCTAGAAGATTTTGGAAAAACGGATACACAGTGTGTCCACCTGCACAATTCCCTGCTGCTCCGTGTTCTAAATGCAGTTCCACATGTTCCTGCAGAGAGACACTGTCCCGGCACACAACAGAGCACATGGGGCACTCAAGTCTCTCCTCCCCTACAAAGCAAATTGCAAAACTCCATGTAAGTCCACACATCAGAAACAAATTTCATGTGAGGGCAACTGAGACTGAGACTTTTCTCTGCTCCAGTTGGTGTCACCTGTTGATGATCAAGTTAAAACCTACAGACTAGTATTAACCATTCATGTTCCTGTCATTGTACTAAGCAGTTACCGTTATTACTTTAATTAAACTAAACTAAAACTTGGATGAAAGAGTTTCTCTAGCAGTTAATACTGAAGTAGGTGCCTTCTTCTCTCTCGTCTAACTCAGACCTGAAATGACTCTAGCATCAGTTTTGCTTTCATTATTATTTCTATCCGATATATATCTTTGGGTCAGACAGAGGTGCATACAAACCATGAAAATGAGGGTGTGATAATCTGAGAGGCACAGTCCAAGAGGAAAATGGGACTGAAATAATGGCATTGACAAGTCAACTCTACCTCTACACACTAACTCACTGTCAGCATGGAGATCATTAATAATAATAATAATAATTGCTTGAATTTACATAGGGCCTTTCACAGGACCCAAAGACGCTTTACATAAGTTTGTGAGGACAAGACAGAAGAGAAAAGAAAAAGTAGGAAATACAAAACATGATCAAATTTAACAGCAGGATGGAGCATTAAGTGAGGCCAAAGGTTTTAGTGAAGAGGTGGTGCTTGAGGAGTTTTTTGAAGATTTCGACAGATTCAGATTCATCAGATGCACCTGCTGTTTGTGTCACTATGTGTCACCATCTTAATTTAGCATTCTTGTACACTGACAGTTGTTAACGGCACAGTAGGAAAAGTCAGAGGATCAGCAAAGGTTCCGAACACAATGGGGGTCCATATAATATTAATAATGACAGTTCACACTGGATCAAGGAGGTGGACAGACAGACAGACCTTGCCACTATAGTCTGTGACTATAGACACATCATTTATTTGCTGCTGGGAAATACTACCCAGCTGCATAATGAAAATATCATGCCTGGTGAACAGGCATCCAGTGCTGATCCTCAACAAAGAGCAGCCAGAATAAATATACAGCATGTACATATCTGGATTAGACTTATCTGGCATCTTAACAAACAATGAGCTCTTCTGTCTGTGGAACTTGTTTGGGTAGCCTGAGAATTTTGAAGAGATCCTACTGATTAGCTGTGATTATAACTGGTGAGAAGGACAGAACCGTACATTCTGCACAGGGCAGCAGAGATGCTAATCTTAGGGGAAGAAAGTTACCTTCAGCTGAGTTCTGTTCTTGCAGGTGCAACTCTACATGCTCGTGCAGGATGACAGAGCTGCTGCAGACAAGTGCACACATGGGGCACGAAAACCGCTCCTCTGTAACAAACAAGGCAATTCAAGTCAATGCTGGCTTTATTTTGCAAATTAGTTTGAAAAAATGTAATCACCTCTTCTTGATAGAGACAGTCGCTTCTGTTTGGCTTTGTTGTGCTCAGAATTAAGTCCATTACTGTTCTCATTATGGTGCCTGGCAGAGGCCTGTCTGGTTTCAGGGCTTCGATTTGTCGACCTCAAAGTGGTAGATGCAGTTTCTCCAGAAGACGAATGCCCACTTTCAAGTGCACTGTTCTGTTTAAGTTGTATCAAGTCAGTGGTGTGACGAGTGGCACCGGTGGGTGACACGTCAACTTCATCACAGCTGCTTCTTGCCGAACAGGACTGAGAAGTCTGAGGCTTCTCTCTCTCAGTCACACCTGTGTTGGTTGCAGCAGAAGACCCTGAAGTGAATGTGAGGTGAGCCTCACCCTGTGCTGTTTGCTGCCTCTCTGGATGTGCGTTGCTGATGTGGAAAAATAGTTCATCATATGACACTCCAGACAAGGAGCAGAGAGGACAGTGCATGTCATTTTCCAGATGGCTGAGGAGGAGGTGAGTCTTCATGTCCTCTTCCAGCAATATGTCTTCACCGCAGATGTCACAGGTTAGCATGGCTGCAGCCTACAGACACAAGGCAGTTTTACTTCCCACAAAATGGCTTATTGTCACAACTCACAGTATCAAAAGAAGCATTAATAAAGAAAGGTGCACTTTGTTAAGAAATCCTTTGTATTTTAATTTAGGAAAGCATGACGCAGTGGTGCATTTGAGTTTGGGGAATAGTAACAAATTTTCTGGTCAGAATCCTGGTCCCACAGAGAAACACAGAAAGCTGGTGGTGTTAGTTGTCCTAGTGAGGAGTGACTCCTACTGTCTGTTCTGTGTAAAGTGTGGTTGAAACTGGTATGAACACACTGGGGGTAGAAGCTCAAGCCACCATGGCAGTGTCATGTCTGACCACTTGTTTTATGTATACTATAGAACCAAACTGTCATAAATAAGATATTCTCCTCTGATGCCCAGAGAACTGGGCATTTATTTAAACTTACATTGCAGGCACGCACACACACACACAGACACACACACACACACACACACACACACGATTGTTGATGCGAGTCGCAGACTCGACATATTTATTAAAAATGTAGTCCTCAAAACTCACGTCAAAAATGCAAGAAACCTTAGAAAACGCACGTTTGGTGCTTTGCACCATGCATTTTCATTTGAGGCAATATGAATGAACAAAGATTAAATAATGACAAGGGAAACCAAAACCCCTGCCACCGCTGTTAGTGTCCTCTGTGACATCAAGGTGGTACACATCTTTTCCACAACTGGAACACAGACAGTAGAAAAGTCAACAAAGACCACAAATTTACCTGATCACCAGTTTGACCTTAACTCAGGCAGCTACTGATTAAAGAGTCTAAAGTTTTCTTGGGCAAATAAAAAGTCTCAACCACAATCCAGAGTTCCTGTTCTCTCCTCACAGAAGGTCCACCACCTCCATCGAAGAAACACAAGGCAGAGTGCCAGGGTGCTTGGAGAGGTGCCACAGTGTGTGTGTGTGTGTGTGTGTGTGTGTGTGTGTGTGTGNGTGTGTGTGTGTGTGTGTGTGTGTGTGTGTGTGTGTGTGTGTGTGTGTGTGTGTGTGTGTGTGTGACATGCACATATGCACAACATATGGATTGTATATATTGTGGACCGTATATAAAGAGGTTCAGATAGACAGAAATGTAAACAGATATTTAACCAGTTAACTTGGTCACCAGTTAAACTGGAACACCGGCACCTGAGGGGGAAACTGTGCAAAACAGAAACAGATCATATTCGTGAAGGAGCCATATTTCTCTTGTTTACTGATGAATGTAGCATCAATGTAAAGTGGGTTTAAGGTCTCCTGCTACATTTCTAAATAGTTCACTTTTGTCGATAAGGAGTGCTGCCCGTTAATCTGTGAGTAAACCGAAATAAAGACAACTATTTATTCTGAAGTCTGCATATGTTACAAGGTGTGTAACATTGCCTTTCGAAAAACGATCCGTAAATTAGCATCTTTTTCACTGGAGTTTGGCGGACGAGGTGGACAGTCAGTGTGAGAAGGCAGCGATGGGCTGTGCAGTGAGCACATGTACTCCTCACCTCTGCGTCAGTCTGTCTGAACACGATGGAAACGTACTCACGGTGTTTTTCTGTCTGTTCTGCAGTGAAACCTGCACGATGAGCCCGGCGCCACAACACTGTCACACTTCCGGCCCAAATCTTTCAAAATAAATGAACTTTCAAATCGTCTTTTTGTGTCCCCGATCATTTTGTTTTTCAAATAGAAAACATATGTGTAGCTGTACTATCTAGATTCAAATATATTTCAGACAATAAGGCATACCAAGAAGGCCCAGCAGAGGATGTTCTTCCTGCGGCAACTGAGGAAATTCAACATGCCGCAGAAAGTGATGGTTGAATTCTACACAGCCATCATTGAGTCCATCCTCACCTCATCTATCACCGTCTGGTTCGCTGCCTCCAKTGCCAAGGACAAGGGCAGACTGCAGCGGATCATAAGGTCAGCTGAGAAGGTCATCGGCTGTGACCTGCCGGCCCTCCTAGACCTGTTCCACTCCAGGACCAGTAGGAGAGCAGGCAAGATCATTGCTGATCCRTCACATCCCGGTCACCARCWGTTCCAGAGACTTCCCTCCYGAAAAAGGTTTCGGGCCATCAGGACTAAAACCTCTCGCCATCTGAACAGTTTTTTCCCCGTGGCAGTGGGGCTCACAAACAAGCCCCCTGCATCACACTGACTCTGCACCGCACTGACTCTACCCCACCACACCCCACCACCTGCACATAATTTATAATTTATTACTACTCTGTTACTGCATATATGTATATACTTTAKTTTATTTTATTTTATTTTATTCAATTTCTTATATATTGTTGTTTTTCTACATTGTTGTTTTATGTACATAAGCAGTGCACCAATTACACCAAGGCAATTTCCTGTATGTGCAAACATACCTGGCAAATAAAAGAATTCTGATTCTGATTCTGATTCTGATTCTGATCGCAACCATGTAGACAAATAACGCAATATCCAAAACTACTTAGCGATTGGCAACAAAAGGATTCGAGAATACACGATACAAAACACACACTCAAAAAGAAAAATGAATAAAGACAACAAATGAACACACAGTGGTCAATCTGGAATTAAGGTGCATACATACTGGGGAATGGATAAAGAAGTCCTCAAAGTCGCCTCGTTATATACAGAAATATACAGAAAAGAGTGGGTTGTTGTAGAAAACTACATTTGTGTGAGAAACACATTTGCTAAAATAACGAAATCATTTTATAAAACTCACCCAGGCTGACCTCTCGCAGCTGGCGGAAGTGACGCGGCCTGTTGTTGACGCGAGGGGTTTTCTGGGAGAGTTTTTAGCGGGACGCCATTTTGCTCCTGAAAGCGGAGGTAAAGCATCAGAGGTTGAAGTGATCGAGCAGCTGTACGCGTTCACAGGTACATTGTATCCGCGGGGGGTAAGACTCAGTGTTGTGGTGATGTGCTGTGGCAGCGGACGTGGCTGTCAGTGGAACTAAACCCCGCCGAGATGTGGATAAAACGCGCCATCAGCTGACGAGCTAGCCGTGTAGCTAGTTCAGTAACTGACCAGGAACAGCAAAACACATGCAGTGAAGCTGCCCGCAGCGGTGTCAGTAAAGTAAAGTGCTACTGGACGGTGGGCCCCACCTGTCTGCGGGCCGGTCATGTCAGTATCGAGCATTGAGCATGTGCGTTGAGCTGGTTGTTGGATGGTACTGGACATGACCTCCTTTTCTGGGCTGGTTAACGCCGCTTAACTCGGCCTACACCGGAGGAGTCCCAGACATGTCACTGTCCGTCACTGTGCACGATCCTGATCTGTCTTCCAGCCACTAAAATGAACGACGACACACTTGAATCTGAGCTGACACGTTTTGGCCAACACCTCCACAGCTAATGTTGTTAAACCACACAGTGCTGAGTTCCTGTTGCCTACGTGCGATGACTTCCCTGAATGTTAAAATCATCACTGTGTGGAAACTGACATGCGGTACCTTAGCATGATCAGCATAACGAGGGAGATTACAAACCCATCAATAAGAATCGTCTAATAGACAAACTGTGCCACCTTTTAGATCCATCATTTCTACTTATCGATCATCTGCAGTCTGGTTGGACCATCTCAACTCGTTGTTTGACTTTACCGAATATATGTGTTGGTATAGTAGACAATATATTTTATTATATTTTCACGGTAAATGCGTCACAAACCTATATCTGACCTAGAGAAAACAGCTGCCCCTGATTGTATAGATGTCGGTGTATTATAGAAATGTTACAGTGGGACCCTTTGAGTAATTCCATGTCAAATCATCTCACTATTGGGCTGCACTATTCCAAATCTCAATGAAACTAAAGGTTCATGCAGGAGTAAGGAAGATATGGGCTAATTAAGTCATTGTGGGGTCCTTTGTGAAACCCTCCCTCTCCAAACATGAGAGAGAACCTGTTGTAGCCTTCAGTTGTCATAAGTTTTGCTCTATTGAACAAAATGCTCTCCAATTGTCTTACATTTTCAACATTTCCTGAGTGAATACACCTAGATGCTAACTCCTTGTCCACCCTTACTCCTCAGACACGATGGCGAGTGAGGGGAAAGACGGCTTCAGGATGAAGAGCTACAAGAACAAAGCGCTGAATCCTCAGGAGATGCGTAGAAGAAGAGAGGAGGAAGGTATCCAGCTGCGCAAACAGAAAAGAGAGGAGCAGGTAAACTTTCACTTTTATGCACTTGATTAAAACTCTTTCTAGGTTAAGGCTTCTTTTTTTAGTCGCACAAGCACAATGACAAATGCAGAGTTATAGTCCTGGGTGCACCATCTCTGTGGGCATCTACAAGTGCACGTGTGGTTCATGTATATGCGTCAGTCATGTAATTTGTGTGTGCGCTGTGCGGTAACATCTCCTCTTGTGGGTCATGTTTTGTTTGTGCAGTGCGCTTGTTTGTGCGTGCGACCCTCTCAACTGAAATTTGATTGAGAATAGGGAACTGATGTACAGTTCCCTATTCTCAACCAAATTTCAGCCCAGCCTTATTTCCATCAATGCTGGCCAAAAAACTGGCAGAGTACACAGCAAGAGAACGCCTTGTTTACTTTCGGTCTATCAGGTTCAGTGTGTTAGATCTAGGTAAAAGGGATCTATTGACACAAATATTGAATATAAAATAATCCTAGTGATGTTTTCACTAATGTGTAGGAATTGTTGTTTTCTTTGCCCTAGAAGACATTTTTGTAAATATTTACATCAAGTCCCACTCCAGCCTAATACACCCAGTTTAAAAATCTTTGTTCTTGAAAATGACATATTCAAAAGGTTTTTCCTGATAAAGAGTCCCCTCATGGCCTCCCTCCTTGTTTCATGATTGGGATCTATGACTATGCTACTATAGCCCCCCGCCCACTACCAGCAGTTTAATCATGTGACTTTGACTCTTCCTGCAGCTGTTCAAGAGGAGAAATGTATCTGTACCTTCAAATGAAGAATCCATGCTGGAATGTCCAATTCAGGATCCAGACATTAGCTCCACAGTACCTGTTGCTGGGGTAAGTGTTAGTTTACTGTTGAGTTCTTTCTTTCAACTTTGGCCTGGATGACATTTGGAGTATGATTTTGAATATGTATCTATTCTAATGTCAACTTTTTTGCAGGATGGGATTATAACTCCAGACATGATTCAGATGATCTTTTCTGAAGACCCAGACCAGCAACTAATTGCTACTCAGAAATTCAGGAAATTACTCTCAAAAGGTTTGTGCTGTATCCTGGGAATCCTAATATTTCTCTACAGTAAATAATTTGACCTGAAGTTTAAGTAATAATCTCTCACAGCGTAGTGTCTATTTGTACACACACACACACACACACACACACACACACACACACAAACACACACACACACACACACACAAGCCCTGTTAGTAATTCAGTTTTAGTAAAAACATACAAATACAAATCCTGATATTTTCGCTGAATGGATAGTTTGGATGATCAGCCACGTCACCTGCGTGAGCAAGTAGAAGTACTTAACGGCGATGATGTATGTTCGTGTTATGTTACAACTCAAATGTACATTCATTCAGAAGTGCATGTGAACTGGCTTCTAACTTTTCATGCATATTTGTTGATTAAAACCACTGTTTTGCTTTAAACCACTTTCATTCTTTTGATCGGTCACATTGAAGAAGGGATGAGTTCTGATCTGTTCTCCTGCACAGAGCCTAACCCACCCATAGATGAGGTCATTTCCACTCCTGGTGTTGTGAACCGCTTTGTGGAATTCCTGAAGAGAAGTGAAAACTGCACACTGCAGGTGAGAGCTCCACAGCACTGCACACAGCCTCTGACACTGAAACCATTCAGGTTACAGATGAGAGCTATGGTTTTGGAATAGATTTTTCCGAACGCATCGTGTGAGCAGTGTCAAGAAGTAGAGTTTTGACTGTAATTTACACCAGTGAAAATATTGACTGGTACAAGTAACAATATAAAGTCCTTGAGATATAGTATGTGTAATATGTAATGTTTAAATAAAATTTTATTTTGAAATAATACTTGAGCAGTGTAAAGAATAATACATCATAGGTAAAACTATGTTCTTTGTTATTTGAGCCATTTGTATTTAATCATGATCTGAATGATTGCTTGTGTGCTGAGTCCAGTGTCATGTGTGTATTTTGTGTGTGTTGTGTGTTTCTAACAGTTTGAGGCAGCCTGGGCACTGACCAACATTGCCTCCGGTACCTTCCTTCACACGAAGGTGGTGATTGAAACAGGAGCTGTTCCCATTTTCATTGAGCTGCTCAACTCTGAGTATGAGGATGTCCAGGAACAGGTGAGAGGCTAAAAGATAATATATTATCACAGACACCGAACAATATTGTTTCCAAAGTGAATATTAGGAGCCTGTTGGACTATGTTGACTGTGTGTTGTGTTTCAGGCTGTATGGGCATTGGGGAACATAGCAGGAGATAATGCTGAGTGCAGAGACTATGTGCTGAACTGTGGTATCCTGCCGTCTCTGCAGCAGTGAGTGTCCTTGCTCTAACTCATTGCATGTGTCAATCATTACATTTCAACATGATACAACAATTGGATCCTGTGTTTTTGTGTCCAGGCTTCTTGCCAAATCCAACCGTCTCACAACAACCCGCAATGCAGTGTGGGCTCTGTCCAACCTTTGCCGGGGGAAGAACCCTCCACCGGACTTTGCCAAGGTGAGTCCACTTGTCATGACTAAATTGGAATACTGTACCTCAGTATTTCTGCTTTCAGCAGTAACTCTTGATCATCCAGCTGTGGTAGTAAACTGTCCATATGTCTTTGTTGTCCTTGTCTCTGGTGTGTGTCAGGTGTCTCCTTCTCTCAGTGTTTTGTCCAGGCTTCTGTTCAGCAGTGATCCAGATGTTCTGGCTGATGCTTGCTGGGCTCTGTCCTACCTTTCTGACGGCCCCAATGAGAAGATCCAGACAGTCATTGACTCTGGGGTGTGCCGCAGACTGGTGGAGCTGCTCATGTAAGAAAATGACTGTTTCGCATTATTTTTTGTCACCTTTCTGTCTTTTTGGGTTTCGGTGATGTCCACTGTTTTTTAAAAGCTGATAAACTGAACTGACGTGTGCACCTTTCTAAGAAAATTGATGCAGAGCACAGATATAACCTGATCATCTCTGTTTTTCTATTTTTTTAGCATAAAAATGTATAATTTCATTTTATAACGTCATATACATCTCAACACTGTTTTTATAGGCACAGCGACTATAAGGTGGTTTCTCCTGCTTTACGTGCGGTGGGCAACATTGTAACAGGAGATGACATCCAGACTCAGGTAGAAGCTCAACTCCTGATTCCCCCACTTGATTTCTTTACTGGCTGGTTCACCAGACATCAAATACAGTATTATGATATAATTATTAATGATGAAAATATTACGCTCTGTCTGTTTCTCAGGTAATCTTGAACTGTTCAGCACTGCCATGTTTACTGCACCTCCTCAGCAGTCCCAAGGAGTCCATCAAGAAGGAGGCGTGCTGGACTGTGTCTAACATCACAGCAGGAAACAGAGCTCAGATTCAGGTAAAGGCTGGTTTAGTTTAGAGTTTCATGTCTTAAAAAAAGTGGTCATTCAGTGCAGCTGACAATCTTACTTTTCCTTGTAGAATGTGATTGATGCCAACATCTTCCCAGTACTCATTGAAATTCTTCAGAAGGCTGAGTTCCGCACAAGGAAGGAGGCAGCGTGGGCCATCACTAATGCCACCTCTGGCGGCACTCCTGCACAGATACGGTGTGTTTGAAAGTAGAAGAAACACTACCAGGGTTGAAATGAATGCAGCACACTTTTTTCCCCCAACTCCCACACATTCATTGTATTGAGTCATTTTGAACAATTGAACAAGACCAGTGCACAGACAATTCAAGATCTCATCACCCGCTTAAGTTTTTCCGTCTGTTGGTAATGATTTCAAATCAAAAATACACTTTTTTACTGTTTGGAAGTTTAAAAAAAAATGATATTGAAATAAAATGGATAGTTTCACTTAAAAAATATACTTATGACATTTGTCCCTGTGTGAACAGGTATCTGGTGTCTCTGAATGCGATAAAACCCATGTGTGACCTGCTGACAGTGATGGACTCCAAGATCGTACAGGTGTCTCTCAATGGTCTGGAGAACATCCTCAGACTGGGAGAACAGGAGGCCAAACAAAACGGAACAGGCATCAACCCGTATTGTGCTCTCATTGAGGAGGCTTATGGTACAACTCTCCCGCACATTACACATTTAACATCCCAGAAATGTACAAAATACATCAGCCACACCCACTCATTCATCAGCTTCTTAAAGAATGTGACAGGAATTTATTTATTAGATTTTCCCCTTTTTGAAGGTGATGGTGTTAAAAACTTGATTGGGGAGAAGTCTTTCCTGTCAAGGGATATCGTTCCATTTCTTACTAGTCTTGTCATATATGGTGAGGCAGCGATAAACGATGCCGGGAGTGACACTGGTGTGGTTCTGAGACCTGCTCCAATGGTGCTGGTTTGGAACAGGTTTACTGTGTTTCCACCTTTTGGTACCGTCGACAAAGCCTGCTGCAAACCAAGACAACGGAGGTGTCCCCTTGTTTGGGAACACGAGTCTCCTGTGGCCACCTCAGTGTTCCGGCCTGGTTCCGACACTCCAAACATCTCTGTAGGCTTAAGTGTTTTGTTTTTTTTGACACAGTCTAATCAGGCTTTTATTGATCAGATGGACTGCTTACCACAGTTTGCTTACTTTTATTGGTTTACTCTAATGTGCGACCAGCGGCTGTGGAATCTACACACAGCTCTAAGGTGTCTTCTGTCTCCCCCCATCACACTCTGCTGACAACTGTGTCATTCAAACTTTCCACTAAACATTCACACCTCCCATTACCATTAGAAATGTTCTGTACAATGCAGGAAATAGCTTATCATAATAGTATCGTATTTCACATTGGTGCTTTGTTTTAATGTAGAAAAAAATTGATCTGTGTATGTGTGGATGCATTTCTGCAGGTCTAGACAAAATCGAGTTCCTGCAGAGCCACGAGAATCAGGAGATCTACCAGAAGGCCTTTGACCTGATTGAACACTACTTTGGTGTGGAGGAGGAGGATGCCAGCCTGGCTCCACAGGTGGACCAGAGTCAAAACCAGTTTGTCTTCCAGCAACAGGAAGGGCCCATGGAGGGTTTCCAGCTTTAACCCCACCTCACCTCCTTCTTCCTGGTCTCTGAGCCTCGGCCTGCTGGCCTGCAGACTCTCCTGGGACCTCATCTCGTCTCTGCTGGGCCAGCTCCTCCCCACATGGCGACTTCTATGGCTTCACAACAATGCATACTCTGAAGAAACACAGAGATCTGTGGATAAGGAGATGGAAAGTGACAGCTCATTTGGGTCCTTGATACCGTTTGAGACTATGGGAGCCTGAATGGAGGGGTCAGCTCTGCTGGTTTCCATCCCCTTGATGAGAGGCCTATGCCATGGAAAGCCAATTCACTTTCAAGAAGAATTCTCTGTTTTAGCTCTACAATATTAGATTCCTTTGACTTCCTGTGATAGTTTTTTTATCATTCTAAATGAAGTTAATATTTGTTACAATTAGAATCTACTGTCTCCAAAATCGGCATCCATATCCCTTTTTGAATGTGAAACTACCTCTTTAGTCTTCAGAGAGAAAAAAGTGGGGAAGGAGTGGGGAAAAGAAAAGCCCTAAATGAACAGAGAAAAAACAGAGAAAGCATCAGATTGATTTTTTTTTTTTTTATCATGGCTTAAATCCAATCTTGAATAGAATTGTTGGCGTTGAGATTCAGTGTGTAGTGGCTGACCTGTTAGCAGACTGTGGGCAGGCATTGGATGTAAATACAGTATTACTGTACATCCTGGTCTTTCCATACTTCTGTAACTCAGAAGCGGCTGCATGTGCTCTCTGGGGTCTTTGTCCTCTCCCGTCCTTTTAAAAGGACAAGAAAACACCTGGCGGTCTCTAGGTCTTTTATTTATTTGTCTTCTGAGAGCAATGAGGGAGCCCCTCCATCTCTTCTGAAGGCAACGGCTTCCTGGATTGTCACCTCCTTACTGGCCGGAGTGAGTCTGGAGACTGGGACAGTGCTGTCTGTGACTGCTTGTGTTTTTGCTGCTTATTTTAAGTGGTCTTTATTTCAGAAAGCAGTATGAGAGCAGGATGGGTCCTGGCAGTTTCACGATGCAGTCTGTGCAACAATCCTTTGAGTTAATGAGATCTGTTTTCTGTTTGTCTCTCTGAACTAGCATCATGGTTTATCTTATTTTTTCCTTTCTGCCTGTAATCATTTCCTTCTTGTGATGGGATTTGTCAACTGATTTGGGAGGTTTTGTATATTATATATACATGTAAGAAAGTGTAATAGTATTTAAGTGGCAACAGGAAGGTGTGATAAGTGATTATGTTTTCTGTCTTGTAATGCATTATTAGTATTTTCAGTCACTGTACAGACACCACTCATCCTTAATCACTACTTTTTCTTTTCCATACCCCAGACAGTTTTTTAGTTTTAGTTTTTTTTTTCTTCTGAGCTGTTATACTTAAATCTTTAATTTTTCATGTTCCCCTTTTGTGGTTAGTCTAAAGATGGAAGCGCAGTGTTTTTGTTCCTTCTTTTGCTCTACCCCTGAACTATTTTTGATTCATGCGCATTTAAGTACAGCAACATTAATTGGTGGAGAACCAAACATGAAATGAATCTATATTTATGTGAAATGGAAAATGTTTGTAATGCAGAAATTACATCAAGCACATTGAATTGTGTATAGTTTTCTAATATTTCTGGTTTGTATAATTGT